ATTTTCATATGTATAAAATATAAAGATAATAAAAAGTAATTAATATCAAAAGTCTCATAGTGTCATAAAAAGGAGCAGCGATATTTTACCGTGAGATTGCTTTAATGTAAGGTTATGGATATTGTTAATCGCATGCCCCGTTAATATGAGTAAAAGTCAAGGAATGACATTCGTTTACATATTAAGAGCAGAATAATACGTAAAGAATTATATTTTGCAATGGCCATATTCTCTGTAACCATGAGGACAACTTTGTAAAATTGATATCATAGTTAGAGCTCAACCAGGTGTTCGGACAAACTGAAATTTGAACTTAAAATACAAGCCCCTAGAAGGGAGTGTACGTGCGTGTAAATGATGGTTGGCATTTAAATCATTCAAGAAAAAGGTTGGATTTTTTAAAAAGTACTTAGTAACAACGTTTGCTTTCGTATCATGGAAACTATTTAACCTAAGGAATTGAAAAGACAACTTAAACATCCAAACAAGATTCTAAAAACCGAAATGAAAAGCTCAACCTGAATCAACCTGCCGTGTATTTACAGAAAAGCTCTTTTTTATATATCTATGATTTTATAATGTAACTATGGAAACAATAGCGAAAGCAAAAATTAAATTCATTTTTAATTTCCTACGTTTAGAAATAAATACCATATTTTATTTAATGTTAACAATTTTATCAAGGAAACCCTTATTCAGATGATTGTAAACATATATATAAATATTATTTTCCTTTATTCGGTCGATAAGTATATGTTATTAAAAATCAGTACAGACATACAAGAAAACAGATAAATTTTCTAATTAGTGTAAGTTGCTTTTTGTAATAATTGAATTGGATCTCTGTGCTGCATTAAAGGAAACTTGCATTATTTTGGCTCACACAGTTTGTGTCAGCAGAAAAATTTCTTATTCACAACTACGTTTTGATCTTATGATCAATTGCTATTGAGATATAACAGTATTGTTATTAGTATTATTAACTTATATACAACAGTATTTAAGTTCTAGGTTTTCGTGGAAATCTTTTTTTTTTTTGTCATAACTTGGGGAAACTGGTTTTTCCAATGAAAAGTCCTATAAATATATATAAGGACACGGATTTCCCATCTGTTATTTTTACCTCAAATGTTTTTTTTTTACCGATAAACCGGCTCCTACTATGTGTATTCATGACTGATCTAAAAAACTCTTCATCCGTATCAAACATATATATTACCTGTATCTTAAGCTTCTCCTCAATTGCAGATGTTTACAATTGTAAATTAGTTTAATAAATCAAGGTTGTTGCTTTTATCGGATTTGTATGGGTGATTTATTCCGAAAAAGACAACTGTAAGTAAATTTGTTTGAGTGTAATCAATGTAAAATAAATGTAATTTGGTACCCGTTTTATTGAAAGGGACTTGGATAGTTTAAGTTTTTTATGAAATAATTAAAGAATTTCACGATCGACATATTGAAAGAGCCTTTCCGACATTTTAAAATCTATTTATAAAAGTATTCTGCATATACTTCGCCGACCACTACATCGTGACCTGTCACCACTGTAGGATCGATACCGATGTCCATTCTTTAGCACACAAACAGACATATTCTTGATGTAGAGTATTGACTGGTATATATTTTTTATTTTATTTGTATATATATATCTTACGGAAGCCCACTAGTGCAAACCAAAAATAAATAAGGAAAAGCGTAATTATTAAATGAAAAAAAAAACTAAATTAATATATAAAGAAGAAAAAAATTATTAGATAAAGAAAAGCGAAATAATTGAATAACGAAAATGAAATTAATATACAAAGGAAAACGAAATTATTAAATAGATCGTCTTGTTTTTTTTTTTTAAATAATTTCGTTTTTCTTTATATATTCATATCGTTTTTCAAGTGGAAGACCTAAACTAAAATACGGAATTTATAGATGTGCATGGTAAGGGCCTGAACCCATGAATCATCCCATAAAGCACACGTGTTATAAAGCATCATCTCGTATAACTCTTTACGCCTTATATCTACATTACAAATGTGTGGTGGAAATGAAAAATTAAATATGAAATTAACAAACGTAGAAAAAAAAAATATGTGCACATGTACACAGCCTAAAGAACCAAGTACGTTAGTTATAGTCCCTAGGCCCTGTAAAATACATAAAAAATAAAGCTTGCCTCTCCCAAGTATTAATGTATATTTATAAAGTGTAAGATCCGAAGTCTTTGTACATGTAAACATTTCGGCGGATCCAAACCTCTTATGCTGCTATGTAATATCCGAACCTTTGACGTATCCCGGAAAACGAGCGTTTTTCTCCACTTTTCACATGGTTTTTGGGAAAATTCGATGTGGCCACAAGCATCGGCCACAAAAATATTTTAGCTAGAAATTCATGAACATAAAAGGAGTTGATTTCAACAGGTTTCATTCTGGCCGTGGGCTGTGGCCACAGTGAATTTTTGAAATTTCTAATGTTCAGTCGTCTGTTTTACCACGTTTCTGTGACGTATTTTTCATCACTGGTGACGTACAGTCCCCAGTCTGCAGTATACCTGCAGTGTAAATCTACATTCGATCGGCGCTGTGTAGACTAGAAGAGAGTATTTAGAGAAAAATGTAGCATCTAAAGGTACGTAAACTTTGTAGAGAATTTAATTGATACATATATAATAGTATCTTCTACATTCTTAAACATATGATAAACCATGTACATTACGAGCATGATCCATTGGTTTGTTTTCACTGAAGGCGGCCGTCATTTGCATACAAAACATGGACAAAGGTCGCTTATAAACACCAAATCTGAGAAAGTGTATAAAGAAAAGGAAATGATTGAAATGTACAAATCAATTTAGATTATATTATGTCATTTTAGAGGTTAAATTTAGCTCCTACACCAATCGTTTAAAAATAGAGCGTTTCATTATTTACATTGACAACGTACAGTTACTTGCAAAAGTATATTACGCGTTGTTCATGGTTCGTTTAAATAATCTATAGGCATTTTTTTTAAAGACCTACAATTCAATGGATTTTTACACTTATATTTTACATATCATGTTGAAGATTATTTGCTACTTTTCTTTGCCAAAAAATTGTTTTAGATGCTTTAGGAGTTAAAATTACTTGTTTTAAAATAAATAACATTGGACATTGCAATTAGTTTTCAAAGTATATAAATTTTATGATTGATTCATTTTTTTATGATGAGGATGGATATTTTGATTGAAAAGTAGCCAATGTTTTTTTTTTTCTCTCGCTTTCTATCTTTCAAAGTAAAGAAGAAATGCGTGTAATAACTATATAACATAAAATTCCTCATAGATGATTTTATAATTAGAACATATTTTCTATAATATTTTAGTGAAATATTTTGTTCTACATGTACCTGTCTTGAGATTGCAGGTAAAAAAAAATAATGAATTTTAAAAACAGAGATGGCTGTGTTTTGGTTTGTATTTGAGTCCCCTTTTGACCCCCCACCCCCTTTAGATCTGTACGTGCTGGGGCCTAATTTTTCCTTTAGCAGGGGTACAGAGATGTTTTTTTTAATTAATGAACGTTTTGTTCTATAAAGAAAAAAATTAATACTAGTGATCTGTTCCTTAGAGTACTTCCCTCAGATCAAATGGTTGATGACTTGAAAATTATTTAAAGTAAACATGGTCAATAATTATGCACATGTAATTTATTTTAGGAAAAATGCCAGGTTGTGGACCAAAATTTTATCCTTGCATACTTTGCAAAAAAAGGACAAAGCCTAGTGAAAGACGGCCTGTGAATAAAAGCACAAGAAAGATTCTAAGAAAATACTTTATGACTAAGTGCAAAGATGGTGTATTATGCAGAAAATGTAGAAACAAATGCGATACATTAAAAGGTAGGGCTGTGCAATATTACAGGTACATGTATATCAGTATATTGCAGTATTATTACCCACCATAATAATATATCACGATATGAAATCCAGATACCTGTATCTCAGGATATTTATAAAAATATGTATATGTTTAAAAAACATCCTTCATTGTAGAAACTGTTGGAATAATACTTGTAACTTCCCCAGGCCTTTCAAATATAGTTAAATGAATACCTCGTCAGCTTTCGAAGAGAGATAGAGAGAAAAGAGAGAGAGGAAGCTTATCATTTACTGTAGCAATTTTAAAAATCTTATTAAAAAAATAATGATTAATAAAGACTTTTGAATAAAATCATTAAGAAAAAAATATATAAAACATTTCTACAGGGTGTATACCATGTTTACTGTGGTAACTGGTTCTCAAAATCTCGCATGGAATCTACACGGTCGATGTCACTATGAGAATGTTAAGCAGTTAAGTTCAAGATACACATTACAAGTAAATGGCCATCCATGTTTTCACTTGATACAGTGATGTTTTTATTATTTTTAATAAGTTTCATGCCATTATGATTTTAAACAACTTCATGATATATCAGGACCATGTGTATTAAAACAGTAGAAATAGGCCAGTGCCTGATCGTATGTCATAATGTGAAATTAGATTTGGGTTAGACTACAACACCAAAACGCCCGAAAATAGGTCACAAATTCTTTGTGGCTTTAATTTTATTCTGTGACCACATGAAATTTTCATATAGTATGTATCGTTTTAATCATTAAATTATTGCTATTTTGATTAACCCAGATAGCATGAGGACATTGGCCCAACGTTGGCCCAACAATGTCGGTTATGTTGGGCCAATGTTGGCAGTTTTACGTTGGCCCAATGTCTTACTGCTCATTGGCGCGCCGTTGGCCCAACATGTTGGGCCAATGTTGGTACAATACTGTTTGTTCATTTGTCAACGTTGGTACAACGTTATTCCAACATACCAACGCCAACGCAATATTTTTTTAACGTTGGCCCAACGTTGGACCTCAGTTCAAAATATAATCATGACGTTGGTCCGACGTTGGTCCAACGTTGGTACAACGCTTTTGTTGAATTGCTCACGTTGGTACAACGCTATTCCAACGTACGGATGCTAACCAAATATTTTGTAACGTTGGCCCTACATTGGACCTCAGTTCAAAATATAGTTATTACGTTGGTTCAACGTTGATACAAAGCTGTTTCTTGAAATTTCAATGACACAATTATTCCTCAATACAAATGTCTTACAAAATTAATTAAATTCTGTAATTTTTATTTCCCAGATTATACGACACAATTAATTTCACCATGTTTGGTCAAATACTTTTTTCCTCCTAAAATGTATCACAATATATTCTTTGCCACTTTCACTTTCATTAAAGTATTCCATGGAATGTAACTGAAAAAGGGAAGAGGTAGAAAGTTCAATGTTTCTCAAGTACACTCCACATCATTATGTCCACTACTAAATATCACTTTGATATAAGAGTCTTCAAGTTCTAACTGTAGAGTTTTGAAAGGTCATATTTGCATCACTTATCACTTTTTCTGTTGTTTATCTGTTCTTAGAATCCATGTTTCCCACACATATAAATCAGTCCCTTCCATATACAGAAATGTCACATCAATAGTCTCAAGAGTGAAGAGGGTTTTTCCATCCCGGCAATTCCTGCAAACGTTAAGATTGTCATCAATTAAAATAGTATTTTCAAATGTTCATCAGCATCACACATATTTTTAAAGCAATCCTTAAAATTGAATTTCACATTAGTAATTATTAACAAATACAAAATATAGTTACTTACATTTCACTGGTTAACATTCTTGCGTTCACTTACAGATCCGGACATATCTGCTCTGCTCAAGCCCGCCAATTCCTATAAAAGTTAAGGTCGTCATCAATTACAATTGTTTAGTCAGCTACCTGGTACCAATAATTTGAAAGCCTACATGCAGGCGATTACAATGTTGTGTATTTCACATTATTAATAATTTCAATAACAAAAACAAAAGCTATACTTACATTGAAAGGATTAAAATTCTTGTTTTCACTTAAACAGACACATACGCTTTGAATTGTTAAAGTGCGCGGTTAAAAAAACTGATTTAAAGATGACGGTATCCTTGGAGACCTATGAGTCACCTGCCGAGCCAGTGAATTTCACCAGTGACCTATTTATTTTGGAGCCCAAAACTTGCAAAATACAGCACTTTAAATTTGATTCAATGATGCTAAATATAGAATCTACCAAGATATAAAATTACTATATGTATTTCACAGACTTTTAAGGATTGTCTCATAATTTCCATTCAATATATAATATAGATCACATGTTTATAATGAGTTGCTTATTACATTACCATCGATTTACAATAGATAAATCTAAATTGATGAATACTTTTCGCAACATTGGGCCAACGTTGGACCAGCATTTCATCTCAAACATTACAGGCTACCTGTACATGTACTAGTAATCCCAGTATTCCTACTATTGGACCAACTCCAGTTCAGTCAAGCACGCCCAACACAGAGCAATGCATCATTATATTGTCAACATTTATTAAGCTGGGCCAACGTTGGGCCAACATTGAATAACCAACAATAAGTGGCAATGTTTTGCCACTAACGTGTACTCAGTTAGACCTACGTTGGGCCAACATTTCATATTTAACACACAATGGTCTTTATCCATGTCAACATTTACTCGGTTGGACCTATGTTGGGCCAACATCTTAATGTCCAACACCAAATCGCTATGTTTCTTGTCAACATGTAACTACAATGGGCCAATATTGGGCCAACATCACATGCCCAACACTGTTGGTTTAGCTTTCATGCCAACGTAAATGAACGTTGGACCAACGTTGGGCCAATATCACATGCCCAACACCGTTGGTTTAGCTTTCATGCCAACGTAAATGAACGTTGGACCAACGTTGGGCCAATATCACATGTCAAACACCGTTGGTTTAGCTTTCATGCCAACATAAATGAACGTTGGACCAACGTTGGGCCTACATCTGTTCCCCAACGCCAACACTCCACCAACCATACAACCAAAAACCAACGTTGGCCCAACGGAGTCATGCTATCTGGGAACCCCCCCCCCCCAAAAAAAAAAAACAAAACAAAACAAAACATAAAAATGTAACAAGATTATATAATTTGTATTAAATTTTTTCAGTTTCAAAATGCTTCAAGAAAGTTCATTTCATAACTATTAATAAGAGGATCAAAGAGATTATACTTTGATGACCCTTTAGAAGAAAGTGACTATTTTACTCTCACTGGACTTGGAAAAAAAGAATTTGATGATCTGTTATCTTATGTGGAAGCTGGAGACGTTAGGTCATCTAAATCAAGGAGCGTTAGAACTTGTTTAGCGATTTTTCTGACCAAATTGAGGACAGCTATGGATAACAACATGCTTGGAGTTTTGTTCAACATGACTAAACCACAGGTAGGAAGGAATGTAAAATAAAAAAAAGTTTTATTAGTTAATATATTAAAGCTGACTTATGAGATCTAATTCTCATAGATTTATTCAGATTCTACATAATTATTTGTGTATGCTAACAGAGATCAGTACAAGTGGAATATTAATTATACTAGCAAAAATTGTTCCACTGCATAATTTTCATTATTCTATCGGAAAATTTGTGAATTAGAGATGAAAAAAATCAATCTTGATAAAAGGAAATATTATATTGCAGCGCTACATGTAAGAAAATAATTTTTGTTTTAGATTAGAAGAGCTGTATCCACTATGAGACAAGCAGTTAGCATCTACTTTGTCCCAAATCACCTTGGTTTCAATCATATCAGCAGGGATACTGTTATCCATGACCATACCAGACCCCTTGCCAAAGAACTGTTCTCTCCTACCCTCAACCAGGCCATATTAGTGCTGGATGGAACATATTTATATGTTCAAAAGAGTTCACAGTTTTCCTTTCAAAGGTGGTCATACAGTATGCAAAAACAAAGGTGAGAAATATCAAATATATAATTAAAAATAATTCTTTAATTTAGGTGGAATATATACCAAATGTCTTGCATTGTTTGTCAGATTGTAATCTGCAAAAACTCTGTATAACCTTGCCCATGATCTTTGATTGGTTAAAGTTAGGACTTTTGTATTTCAACAAATGAATTAATGCAACTTACTTGAAATTTTATCATGGTACAATTTTGCAAATTAATTTTCATGGAAAGAAAACATTAATGTAGATATTCAAAATTTGTTTAAAATGTCATGTAAGTTATATTTGTAAAATTAAATTTTTTTAAGCTATGAATTCATAATTATTGAATATTGAATGATTATTTATAAACAGGCATCTACTGAAACCAGTGATGATTGTCACAACCACAGGTTATATCGTAGCTGCCATTGGACCATATTTAGTTGACAGAAAGAATTCTGATGCAAACATTTTAAAACACATCATTGGAACAGACACTCAAGAAATTAAGACTTGGCTCCAGGGGGATGATATCATGATAGTGGATAGGGGTTTTAGGGATTCTGCAGGTGTGTTAGAAAATCTGGGAATTCATATGGAGATGCCTTCTTTTTTACAAAAAGGCCAGAGGCAACACTCCACAGAGGATGCCAATAGCTCTCGTATGATCACAAAGGTATTTGTCTGCATGTATTATGCACCCAGTAAATGAATTATTATTGATTATAGACATGTGAATAAGATATGCGTGAATGTATCCGTATATCAACAGAGATTATGAATTTTTCCTATAACAGATATGATGGGTGGTAGAATCGGTGAATGCCAGAATTAAGACGTGGCAATACTTGGCAAGACAACTCCCTAATTCCCAGATCCCATATGTTGGTGACTATGTGCGAATAATAAGTGCAATCTGCAACAAATACAGGTACATTTCATTGGTAAAATTCAAAAACTTTGCAACTGCCTGAACAAGTTTTTAATTTCTATTATGAAAAATTCAATTTAAAAAACATTGTAATTGTTCTGAAAAAAATTGTTTTAGGCCCCCTCTAAGCAGTGGAAAAGAGAATGATTTCCAAATTGCAACGAAGATGCGGTACCTCTCTACCCAGACAAATCGACTGCAGGTAGAAGTAGAGTCAGAAAATCTAGTGAAGAAGCGATATAATTGGAGGAAGATTGATGATGAGGAGAACACCATTACTGACTTTCCAAAGTATACAGAGGAAGAAATTCGGGAATTGACTCTTGGTGTGTATCAAATTAAATTGGCAAAATTTTACACCCAGGAACATGTGAACCAGGATGGATTTGAGATATGGGTTGATCAGTTCAAACCAGGCCTCCTTGCTGCCAAGATCCAAAGTAGACATATCTCAAGCAAATGCTATCTGTGCTGGATTAGGTTTGAGGATGGTGTCGTGACCTCTTGGTATTGCCGTTGTAAGTCGGGAGCGCGAGTAGTTGGAACCTGTGCACACATTGCCAGTGTTATTTGGTACTTGTCCTTTGCTAGATACTCTGATGTGATCAACCTTGAATTAGGCAAGAACTGGCTAGACAATGTATGTGATGCAGCGGACATTCCAGAGATAGTTGACGAAAGCGACAGTGAAACCGAAGCCACTGAGGAATAAAGACAAGAAAGCGTTAACTTATTGATTGTATATTTTCAAATTATGGTTATTCATTTAGATTGACAGGTGATTATTGGAACTTTTTCTTGTGTCCCTAGCCCTTATCAAAATGTATAAAAAAGTTAACAATATCATATATAGTTCTTTAAACAGTGTGAGTGTTATGTCCAGTGTGGTTATAGGCATGTAATCTCCTTTTTTCAGATATTTTTGTTTATAGTTTTTATATAGTTTGTTAAATATGTAATTATTTTAAATCTTCAGAGCCAAAAAATGCATAGACATAGCAAATTGTTTCTGTATTTGAAGTTTTTATAGTTGAACTCACACTTGTTTTATATTTAAAATGATGATTTTTATGTACAGCCACAATTTGAACAGTTTTACACTTTTCAATCTTTAATATATAAAACAAGAAAATCTTAAGTCATCTTATACTTTACAGAGTTTTAGAAGATCTTATTCTCAAAAGAAATAAAATGGTATTTTTATGTGAATTTATGTTAGTTGTTTTGCATAGCTTTGCAAGTTTCCTGTTTATGAGTTAGAAAAATGTTTCAATTTTTTTTGTCAGTGCTGCACATTCAAAGATCCATTGAACGTGCAAAGTCATCATAAGCCAAAAGAAAGTCCTCAATTGTCATTAATATCATTATATCCTGCACATAAAATTTCTTTATCTTTAATTTTGCTGTACATTGTTATCTTTTAAACAAATATTACCTAATACTGTTTTAAATTCTATCATTTAACCTCAAAAGGATGGTTTTTTGCTTTGTAATATATTTTAAACCTAAGTGCAAAAAGGTCAAAATAAATGCTGAAGAAAGAGATATTTCTTTATTTTTTTTAGATCCTTTAAAAACTACTTTTAAGGATCTTTTAACAATCATGATCTACGATGTTAAACATTACTGAAAAAAATGTCATGACTTGAGGAGAAATAAAGACAGCAAATTATGAAAAAATTGACAGCAATTATGATATTCAGATATATACAGATATATTGGAAGCCGTTTGTTTTATTTATTTTTTTTTAAATTTGCACAATATATTTGTAAAGGTAAATATACAATGCAATTTGAACAGTTAAATATTAAATCTTTTACCTACAAAATACATTGAAACATAAAACTTGATATTAAAATGTTCTTAATTGATGGTAAAAATGACGTCACAGTGCTCAAATCTGTGAAATGCAATAAAATACACCCAATCTTCAGAGGGTCATTTCAACTTAACTATAAAAGATAGATGAAAATTGTTAATATATTTATGAAATGTACATCCTGAAGTCATATTTATATAATTATTTTCAATTTTCAAAGAAAGGCCGATTTTTCTTACTGACATACTTGGCTCTTTCTTATTTTTCGTAAACAATTCATAAACTATTCAATTTTGTTTACGGGACTTCGTTGCTGTGTTATTTCCCCACAACATTGTTGGAGTCTGTAAGCCTGGACTTAGCGAGGATGGCTGTTCCTGTTTGCATAAAATTAATGAAATTCCAATAAAGCTCATGAATCGAGAAAAGGTCAAGA